TAGTCCATATTTGACCCAAAGTTGGGTTGAAACAACCCAGCATTTTTTAGAGTGTAATTTACAGATTTAAGCATTTATGTAATTGAAGCAGAAGAGACCAGAGCCTTACAAATACAGTGTTGTCTTTGTAAATCATTATATTACTATATTAAAAGTAACAGCGTCGACACAAAGAGCACATCAGTTTAAAATGTTATTTAAAAAAATAAATAAATAACACTGCACTCGCGTGTTAATTCACACATTCTATGCATTTCTGTTTTGTCCGTCTTTCTATTGTTAATATTTATATCCATATTTTTTTTTTCATTCTGCCCTCTGTATTAACAAACAAAAAGATCTGTATAGAATTTAGAAAATAATAGAACGTAATTTTTTCCATTTTTTTTTTTTTTTTAACTACTCTAAAAAATGCTGGGCTGTTTCAACCCAACTTTGGGTGAAATATGGACTAACCCAACCGTTGGGTTACATTTTTACATTAAATTTTTAACCCAAAAGTTGGGTTAGTCCATATTTGACCCAAAGTTGGGTTGAAACAACCCAGCATTTTTTAGAGTGTAATTTACAGATTTAAGCATTTATGTAATTGAAGCAGAAGAGACCAGAGCCTTACAAATACAGTGTTGTCTTTGTAAATCATTATATTACTATATTAAAAGTAACAGCGTCGACACAAAGAGCACATCAGTTTAAAATGTTATTTAAAAAAATAAATAAATAACACTGCACTCGCGTGTTAATTCACACATTCTATGCATTTCTGTTTTGTCCGTCTTTCTATTGTTAATATTTATATCCATATTTTTTTTTTTTCATTCTGCCCTCTGTATTAACAAACAAAAAGATCTGTATAGAATTCAGAAAATAATAGAACGTAATTTTTTCCAAATATAAAGCGAGGCTTGGACGTAAATGTTCAATTCTGTGTTTGGGTAACAGCTGTGGTGAGAAATCACAGAACTGAGGCCCCCGTCATATATTTTGTCTAAATGTCAAAACAGGACGTGCAACTTCATCATATGTAAACACAAACTCATGCAGGCTTCTGTACATGCAGGCAAACACATGATTATAATAGTAAAATACCTTGATACATAAATGGCTATATTCACTTTGAATGATTAATTTATATTTTGATCAATAAAAATCTTCTACATAGCTTGCATTTTTTACATTTTCGATGTCCTGCCATTGCAATTGTTTACAAAAAAAAAATCTCATTACATGGTTGAAACATCCGTCAACAATGTGAAACATTTATACGTATGATTACACATGCTTTATAAGTCCTGGTTGTGGCAAATAGAGTTTAAGTACTGAGTTACCACAGGCTATGATTGACTGATCAATTATTAAACAGAAGAAACTGACACCCATCTTTATGAACCCCTTCAGGCAAATAACTACAACACAATAATATGTCCATATGAATCTAAATATAGTTCGACTTTCTAATAACTACATTCACTGCAATAAAGTAATTGGATCATGTTACAGGTTTCTATGTACAGAAACTTACAATATTCATGTACCATTTAAAAATAGAGTGAAAGTGTCAAAATATATTCATATTTATCAATATTAACATTTATACATAGATGTAAAATGTCTCGCTTGGCTCATTATAAAGTATTAAGCATGATCCGTTCCAGTATATTTAATGTAAAATAACTAACCCATGTAATCCAAATAAGTCTAAAGAGTAGAAATAAAATCACAGCAGCAACACTTGAGATCGATTCCCATCACAGATCTCTCAAACACAAAATCGCTCAGGTCTGAATGAATCAAACATATTTTCCTCACATGCTCGCTGCCTGAGCTGTAGATTTCTTCTGGCTCTGTGAAAAATCACTCTCAGTCTTGAGCTGTGGAGTCGGTCTGCAGAGCAACTGTGGAGTCGGGCTTCATGTTCCTATATATACATACCATCCACTGCAGCGGCATTCCTTGCATGCCACTATTTGCAGTCTTTATTTTAAGAAGTGGACAGGTGAGGAGGAGCTTCACACTCCATAAACCTATGGTGCTTTTCCACTGCATGGTACGGCGCAGCACGGATCGCTTTTGGGGGTTTTCCACTGTGTACAGTACCTGGTGTTTTTTTAGTACCACCTCGGCTGAGGGTCCAAGCGAGCCGTACCGTAACCAAAACGTGACGTGTAAACCCTGCTGGTCACTGATTGGCCGGAGAGAATCGTCACTACCTGCGTCACTGAACTTGCTACACGAGACATGACTTTAATTTGTATACTCTAATTGAAATATGCAAGTTATTTATTTTTCATTGGCTCAAGTTAAAAAATATAGATGTGAATCATTACCCTAAATTTTTTTAATTGGATGAATTAAACATTTTTTTCAGTGACGTGGTCAAGAAAAAGGTTTCTATTTAACTATTTAGCATCTTTTTTTTCATTGTATTTACTCGAGATTATTTTGGAAGGATTTGGAATTCTATATTAACAGAAAAATAGAGTGTATGATAGAAATTTGTATATTTGATGTACTTTTTTAATACAGAAAACAAACATTTGAATTGTAAAGAACAACATATTATACGTTTGTTTATTTTGTTAGGAACATTCCATTTACATAAGAAGAAGTGGCTCAATGTAAACCAAATTTTGCACATTTTATAAATGACTTTAAATTATATGTAAATCTCTTAGAACAAACAAAAAAACAAAAAAGCATTGAAAACATGTAATGCTGTGAAAGCATTGAACTTTATGTAATCTTCTTCCTTTTTTTTCTCTGGCAGCTAATAATGTTAATTTGATAATGCGAATATGTAATACCTCATGTTCTTGTGGCATTGGATTAATAATAAAAAAATAATAATAAAACAGACCCGCTAGATTTAACCTTTTTGAACGAACGCAACAGTTTCAAACGAGCGCACCTTTTTTAAACAACAAAATAACGGCTGTTTCGTGGTCCGTTGAGGAAGTAGACGTTCCTCTCGTTGAAAGCCGAGGAGTATTTCAGGAGTAATAATCCAGCCCACTCTTAAACAGCTTAAGTACTAAACTGCAGTGGAAAAGCGCCAATACAGACCTCTGCATTCAGACAAATACATTATGAGTGTAATAAGAAAATAACGTGTGCACATGAAAGGCTATTGATTATCCTTCATTACATTACATATACTTCATATTCTGATTAATAAAAACATTCCATACCTGCTTCAGTAAATGTATATTTAAGTAAGACGCCAGAACCCGTGTGCTCGATGGAAACAGTACAGAAATGAGCCCGTACAATGTTGCTTAAAAAACTGTAAAGTGTGTTTTGATGGTTGAATATGAGAAATACCGTGAGCTGCTCGCCTCTACTCGTCTTCTTCTTGGTGTTTAATGGCGGATGGCATACAACCTTTAGGTGCATTACCGCCACCTACTGATTAGGAGTGTGGATCAGGACCGTACTTTACTTTTGCTTTTAGTAATTTAGCAGACGCTTTTATCCAAAGCGACTAACAAATAAGAAAAAGTAATTAAAACTAAAAGCGAAAACTCTATAAATACTATATATATATACA